AGGAACATGGGGCAGTGTGGACCTGGCATTGCTGGGTCACAGTTGGCCTGGATGATCTCAAAGGTCTCTTCCAACCAAAGCAATCCTGTGAGTCTGTGGGTGAAGGTGCTGGTTTTCCAAGATCAGATGCAGTCCCCAGGCTGGGATTAATGCCAGGCATTAGTGTCCTGGTTTTTCAAAGCATCTGTTCAGTGCAGGATGGAAGGAGTCTGCCCTCCCCAGAGTGGGGGTCACACCTCCAGCAAGCCCAGAGCAAACACTTAGCCTGGGAGCTGGAGGTACCCACTGAGAAAATTAACCCAGATAAACATGGGGATGTTTATAAATGTAAAATCTGCTCAGTGCAGCTCGGGGGGGGGGGCTGGGAAAGAACCAGTGCTCGTGGGGAAGAAAGAGCTTTTGTGTAGCCAAGAAGGGCTGGGGTGGAGAGCTCTGGGCAGGCTGTGGGCTGGGGCTGACCCTGCTCCTGGTGCACGCTCCAGCAGGCTGGCAGAGGATCCTGCCAGGGAGGGGAGGGCTGTGCCCACACAAAGGGCAAGGAGATTCCTTGCAGCTCAGCAGCCCTGTGCCTGCACGAGTTCCTATTTCAGAGCCCTGTTCCCTGTGCTGCTCCAGGGAAGCTCATGAAGCTGGAAAGAAGAGAACTGCACAGAAAACAAAATCTGATGTTATCTGTGTGGGAGCCAAAAGCTGGGAGATGAGCTTGGGTGTTGGAGCAGAGCTGGGACAGAGGTTGTTGGGGCAGAAGTGGGTGCTCTGAGGCTGTCAGAGAACCTTGAAAGGGAATTTTGTTTGGGATTTTCTTTTCTTTGTTTGAAAGTGAATTTTTGTTCCTTTTTTTTTTCTTCTTTTCAGTGGGCATGAAAATAACACTGCTGGGGAAAATGAGTCAGATGGTGGCTGAGACACATTAAGCTGTCTGATGGGATTCAGGGCTCTTGCTATTTTTATTAGCTTGATAGTGACCTTGATGACCTTCTCCTTGAAAAGGAAAAGGAGCCCCTTCCCCTGAAGCTGGGCTGTGCTGCAGGGCCTCAGTGAAGCACAACAGCATTTGAATTCATCTCTGCTCAGCAGGACACTTCAATATGTACCCAAAATATTTCTGGCTCCAAGCTTTGCTTTTCATCTTGGGATGTCCTGAATGAGCTGGAATAATGGTTTAAATGACTGTTTGTTGCCTGTTGTACCCTGATCCTGCTGCACACAGGCCAGGAGCAGCTTCAGGTCTGGATGCTGAAGGTCAGCGTGTGATTGTGGTTGAGTTCTGGGACTGCTCTTGTGTCCTGTCCTCGGGGCGACACAGCCTCTTGGGGTGGTTTTCTCATTTAAGCTGTGGCTTGTGTTGTAGAATCATAGCATTATTTTGGTTGGAAGAGATTTTTGGGATCATCCAGTCCAACCATTCCCCAGCACTGCCAGGTCCCCACTGCCCCGTGTCCCTCACACCACATCTACACAGCTTGGAAACCCCTCCAGGGGTGGGGACTCCACCACTGCCCTGGGCAGCCTGGCACAGCCCTGGGCAAACATTTTGGAGAAGAAATTGTTCCCCGTGTCCAACCTAAACCTCCCCTGGCACAACTTCAGACCATTTCTTCTCATCCTATCACTAGTAACCTGGGAGAAGAGACTGACCCCCACCTCACTACAACCAGGTAGTTGTAGAGAGCACTAAGGTCTCCTCAGCCTCCTCTTCTCCAGACTAAACACCCCCAGGTCCCTCCGCCTTCGCCCCCTCCCCACACTGGGGCTCTAGCCCCTTCCCCAGCAGCTCCGTTGCCCTTCTCTGGCCACGCGCCAGCCCCTCAAGGTCCTTCTGGGAGTGAGGGGCCCAAACCTGTCCCCAGGATTTGTGGGGCAGCCTCCCCAGTGCCCAGCACAGAGATTATAATGTCTGGGACATGGATCTTGGAGTGCAGTCCCTGCAGAGGTGCTGACCTCAGAGGGTGCCTGGGGAGGGGCATGTGCTGTGGTCCCTTGCCCAGCAGCAGTGCCCACTCTCCCTGTGCCAGCTCCCCATGTGCCCTGCGAGGGGGAGGATGCCCTGACCCTCCAGAATTCACAAAACACCTTGTTTTACCCATTTTTTTCCATAAATCCCATATGTGGCAGGGCATTTACAGCACGTGCAGGCAGCTCCTCCTCTCCTGCTGGCAGCTGGGCCCTGGCCAGGCTGCGTTGCTCCCCCAAAGGCTGACTGGAGCCTTTCTTGCTCTTCTTTAACACAGCCTCGACCCCTTGAAGTCTCTCCCACGGAACAGAAACGGGATTGATGTGGAGTCAGATGTCTACAAGATGCTGCAGGATTATGAGAAGCCCATTTCAGAGCCTAAGCAGTCCGGATCCTTCCGATACCTGCAGGGCATGCTGGAGGCTGGAGAGAATGGTAAGGAGGTTGGAGGTTGGCACCCATGGCACGTCCCCAGCACCTCCCTGTGACTCTGCACCACCCATCATTCGGTCCCCTTGCACCCACCAAGCTGCTGTTGCAGGCTTAGCCTCCTTCTCCTTCCCTTGCCCAGGTCCAGAGGCTGGAAAAGCCTCTGGAGGACCCATCTGTGAGAGCTCCCAGGGTGGGTTTGCCAGCTCTTCTCCCCTCTCACTGTAGCACCCATCACCTGGACACTGAGGCAGCTCAGCTCCATGGGAAGGTCTGAGCACCCGGGTGGCAGCTTTCAAATCAGGGTTTCAGATGCTCAGGCCACCATCTGAGGGGTCACCAAATTTTCGTGGCTGACGTGAGCGTTGTGTGGAGGTTGGATCTGCAAAGGGCTCCTGGATGGCAGCTGCTTCCCTGGGATGGGTTATGAGATGTGTCAGGGAACTGGTGGAGGACCTGTTGCAGCACATGGTGTTTGCATGAGGACGTGGGATCATAGAATCACAGAATCCTTTAGGGTGGAAGGGACCTCCAAGATCATCAAGTCCAACCATTGAGCCATTAGGGCTCTCAAGTCCTCTGCTAAAACAGATCAGAATCTGTCAGGGTTGGAAGGGACCACAAGGATCCCCCAGTTCCAACCCCTCTGCCATGAGCAGGGACACCTCCCACTAGATCAGGCTGCCCAGAGCCTCCTCCAGCCTGGCCTTAAAGACCCCCAGGGATGGGGCCTCAACCCCCTCCCTGGGCAACCCATTCCAGGATGCTCCTCAGCAATGCAGGGAGAGAGATCAGGAGCTCTTGGCTCACTCCTCAGCTCTGTCCCAGCTTCCTGCCTGTGCTGTTAATGTGGGAAGGAGCCAACTGTAAGCATGAAATAATAAGATCCCCAAATTATAAATTTCAGCTTCTTTTTGTTTGTCTTTCAACTTTGAGTCCCTTGGGGCTTTCAGGTTCAACCTTCCAGGCTTTGCTTCACAGTGATGAGGGCAAGGCTCTTCATCCTGCTCCCTTCCAGGAGCCTCATGCTTGGGTCCTGGGAATCCAGGAACTGGGTTTTTAGGGGGAAATACCCCCTGCTGCAAAGCTGGGAGGGGCAGAGTGTCAGGCTGTTGCACTGCAGCTTCTGTGGCTTTCAGCTGATGGAGAAGGACATTCTTTGACTGGAAGGATCTCCAGCATGATCATGGGTAGCTACCAGTTTCTTTAAGGTCCCTCCCAACCCAAAGCATTCTGTGATTCTGCCAGTTCTGGTTTTCTCAGTGGTATTTAGGCCTGTCCCAAACATATGAGGTGGGATCAGCCTTGGAAGTGCTGAGTCCAAGTCCATCAAGTCCAGCCTTCCTCCCAGCATTTCCCTAACCACTAGACCACAGCCTCAAGTGCTCCATCTACTTGTTCTTTGAACCCTCCAGGGATGGTGACTCCACCACCTCTCTGGGCAGCCCGTGCCATGAACTTCAGTGTTCAGTAGAAGTTCCAGATGGACCTTCAGGTCCCTCGCCAAGAGCCAGCACAAGCAGCTTCCCAGGGAGGTGCCTGCTGCACCCCAGGTCTCCTCATGAGGAAGAAGCAAATGGGAAGTGACAGTGCTAATCCTAATTAAGAACACTGCTGCCTTCCTCCCTTCTGTGTGCCAGGGAAAGGGACAGAACTGGGGCTTTTCTGCTGTGCTGCTGGCTCCCCGCCGCAGCGCTGCCCTTGGGGAGGAAGAAAAGGGTCTGGGCTGGGGCACAGGGAGGACAAAGAGGTGCCAGGACAGTCCCAGCTGGTCCTGGCTGCCTGCTCCCAGGCCTGGGGCTGATGCTGCCTTCCCCTGGGCTGTGCTGGGCAGCAGGGACCTGCCCTGGCAGCAGGGACCTGCCCTGGCTGCAGGCTCGGCCGCCGTCCTTGCCAGGCTCTCTGCTTGTCCCAGGGGGTGAGAGATGAGGTGCCAAGCAGCTCCCCTGGCACGAAGCTGTGGGGTGGTTCAGCATGGTTTAAATCCCCAGGAGTGTTTCTGATGGGTTGTTTTACAGCTTCTACCCCCTCTCTGCTCTCCCTAAGCCTAAAGTCATACATTTTGGCCCGAGCCTGCTCTGCGTTGCCCTTTTAAAGTCACAATCTCCTCTCCTGAGTTGCTGGGTGTCTTGGACAGCAGCCTGCTCTGTACAGAAGGTGTTTCTGCTGGAAGCTGTATTTTCTCCAGCATCTCCAGCCCCATCCCACACCCTTAAGGAGCAACACTCCCTGCTGAGGACCTGGCAGGAGCTGGAGGAATCGCAGCAGTTGGCTCCATAGGTGCCCTTGGCAGGGGAAGGATGAGTGCTGCAGCCACAGAGGGGGCTGGACGTGCTGAAGACCAGGGAGGGTGGTGAAGACCAGGGAGGGTGCTGAAGACCAGGGAGTTAGAGCACCTCCCTGCCTTGCTGAGGACCATAAATGATGATGAGGCTGCGTGCTGGTAAATAGATGACCCATCACTGGGGAGGATGGGAAGCAGCCCTCTCTGCAGGGCTGGCTTGGCTGTGAAATCTCTTCTTTTTTTTTCTCCCCCCTCCCTCTCTCTTTTAAGCAGCTCATCCAAGTGCTTTGCCTGGGAGTCAGTGGCAGCTTAGCTGTGAAATGCTGGCAGATGAACCTGTCTAGCCCAAGCACGCCGAATCTCACGCTGGGGGAAGCCAACAGCCTGAGCTGTTGTTTTGGTTTCTTCCCAGCAAGGCAGCAGGAGGACTGGAGGAGGGAGCTTGGCTGGAGCCAGCTGAGTGCTTGGAGGGCCCCTGGGAGGAGCAGCCCTGCTCTGCTCCTGAGCTGGCAGACCTGCAGCTACCCAGGCTCTCAGCATCTCCGAACGCTGTGTTCTGTCTTGGGCAATCAGGGCTAGGTGGGAAATGAGTCCATTAGTCCTTTGGGGTTTGTTTGCTTGGCTAGAGCTGTTGGCAGCACTGGGGTCTGGATCAGAGTCGTGGTTGGTGATGGGGTGTGCCAGGCAATGCCCTTCCAAATGTGCCAGGGGAACCTGCAGGAGCTCAGTGAGTGACCACCAGCCGTGGTCCTGTTCCACTTTAGGAAAAGCAGAGACATTCCTGGAGCCATGGGGGACACTTCAGGGCAAAATCCAAGTGGAAGCTCCCAAAACCAGTGTAGTGTGTATAGACACTGGGTCAGAAAGTGCCTGGGTCCCTGCTGAGACCTCCTGGGCACCGTGGGCTGAAACTCTCTGGAAGCTCTGGGTGCATAGGAAGTGTGAACATTGAAGAAGAACTTGTTCCTCCAGGAGCTCCTCTACTGCTTTTCCAAGCTCCATCAGCTGATGGAGTAAAATACATTGTCCTTCTTCACAAACTTTTCCTTCCTAGAACCTTGGGCCATCTCAGGAACCACAGACCACTACACACTGAGAAGACCAGTCAGTTGTGAGCCACCAGAACCCATGCAGTGAACACTGGAAGCTTTGAGGTGTCTCAGTGGTTGGCAGCAAGTGTGTTTGTGTTGTCTGAAGTATGAGGGCAGATGACAGATGATCTCTAAGGCTGCAACACTGAAAACTTTGCCATGATATTGTTCATAGGCACAAAATTTTCACTGCTTGCTGTCATTGGACCTTCACGAGAGGAGGCTCGGTGCCCCAGATCACTTTATCTTCTATCACAATATTTTAGTTTAGATTAGTTGAGATTAAATAGTGTTCTAGGAAGAAAAATGCCTTTAATTCTGTCCCTGTTTGGTTTTATTTGCCTCATTCTCTGGAAGGCTTTCAGCTATGTCTCCTTGACTGATGGTGGATCTACCAAACCTACCTGAAATGTTGGTGTGATAGAACCTTTGTTTTCTGGAGGTTTTCTGGGATTTTTTGCTATTTATCTTTCTTAAATCACTAAGTACCATTGCAGCCAAATTCATCTCTCATTTCTAGATTAATCACAGAATCATAGAGCAGTTTGGGTTGGAAGGGACCTTAAAGATCATGTAGTTTCAACCCCCAGCCATGGGCAGGGACACCTCCCATTGGAGCAGGGTGCTCAGAGCCCCATCCAGCCTGGCTCTGAGCACCTCCAGGGATGGGGCATTAAGGCTGCTTTGCCTTTTGACAGGGTGTATGTATGAGTAGGTGCTGTCACAACCTGTAGATGGATCATCTGCTGATACAGCTAAGGGCTTCTGCCACCACCCTCCCCTTTTTGGGATGGGCAGAGGGTCAGCACCATGTCCTGAGCTCACCTGCAAACCCAGGTGAGGTAGTTGGACTCACTGTTTGCTCCTTCCTTCCTTCCAAGCAAGCTCCATGTTCTGAACGACAGGCAGAGATTCATCTGAGGAAAAAAATTAAAGAAAACCAATCAAAGCAAGCACCTTGAGAGGACAAATTCTCAATCTCTGACTGTTTGAAACCCTTGGCAGGTGAAAAACTCGACAAGCTGAGCAACCCCCGGAGCGTGAAGTCCCCGGTGTCCAAGCTGGGCAGTGCCATCCCTGGGCTGCAGATGCTCCCCGAGTGCACCCGCTGCAGGAATGGCATCGTGTGAGTGTCACCACATGGGGGGGACACAGGGGGGACACGGGGGGACACGGGCTGGGGCAGGGGCTGCCCCCCACAGCAGGGTACCCTGCGTCCCTCCCCGGGTTTCGCTGCCCGTGTCCAAACCTGGAACTGAGCGCCCCGCTTTGGGATTGCCCCTTTTAAGGGAATCTTGCAGCAAAAGGGGGATGATTGATGGGGTGATCCCTGCCCTGCCTGGCAGGGGGAGTGCCCAGGGACTGGGCACAGTGCTGCTGGCCCTGGGCTTGCCCTGCCTGACTGAGGTAGAAACACTTTTAGGGCCAGCTGGGAGATGTGGGGGGGAGTTCTGTTTGTGGAAGTCACTCTCTGAGGGGAGGGTGCTGGGTTTGATCTCAGAGAACTGAGGTGGGTTTTTCCAGCGTGGTTTAATCTACGTTCTGTTGTAACTCAGCTTCTGCTCCAGCTGGGTGTGCTGGCTGGGTGCCTGTAGCTGTGTTTCTGCCCTGAGCTGGGGGTCTCTGCTCCCCACGCCGTGGTGCCCCCGCAGCCCCAGCCCTGCCTGGGAGCTGCTGGCTCCCTGTGTCCCATCCCTGCTGAGCGTGGATGTTTGAGGCTCACCTTCAGATGGGGCTGTGGCCAGGCAGGAACAGAACATCCCTTCCCACGGGAGGCAGCAGTGAAACTCTCCCTCTGCTCCTTGCTCCTCCACCTCACCCCAGCTCCTCTCTCCCCAGGGGCACCATCGTCAAAGCTCGGGACAAGCTCTACCACCCCGAGTGCTTCATGTGTGACGACTGTGGCCTCAACCTGAAGCAGAGAGGGTATTTCTTCCTGGAGGAGCAGCTGTACTGCGAGACACACGCCAAGGAGAGGGTGAAGCCCCCTGAGGGCTACGACGTGGTGGCCGTGTACCCCAACGCCAAAGTCGAACTCGTCTAAACCCCCGGCCCTGCTCCGGAGGGGTCACCCCCTCCCAACCCCCGGGGCTCTAATCCAGCCCCCCTCACCAAAGCCCGAGTTCAAAGGCCTTTTCCTAGCTAAAAACGTTTACAACTTGGGATCTGCAGGGAGAGGGGGTGTTGAAAGCAAACCAAGAGGTTTTTCCCTTCTTTTTGACACTCCGCTTTTTGGGTTGTGTTGGGTTGTTAGTCTGTGCCATAACCTTGTCCAAGAGCTGTGTAAATAGTGATTAATTCTCTCCTCTGTTTCATATAAACCCAAGTATTCCTTTTTTTGGTTTTTTTTTTTGCCCCTCCTCTTCTGAAAAAGCCAAGGAAGATGGTTTTAAAATTCAAAGAAAAGAAGGCACTTTAACAGAAGCTGACTCCTGGTTCCTCACCTTAATCTCCTGCCCTCCACCTTGCCCCAGTGATTAAAAACTGCTGCCCTGAGGAGGCTGGGATGAGGTATCGGTGGGTTGGGGTCCCCAGCTCTGCCTCTCCCAGCAGATGTGCTGGGGAAAGGTGGTCTCTTACCCAGGATTTGCTGGGAAGTTCCCTGGATCAGGGCATGGCAGTTTGAGGCTGACACAGCCTGATCTGAGAGCCCCAGGAGATCTCCACACTGAGCATGGGAAGAGGCTTTTTTCTTCCCTCTGAGCATGGGAAGAGGCTTTTTTCTTCCTTCTTTCACACCTAATTCAGTTGTTGTCTGTCATCCACTCACCCGAGCACACCTTTAGAGGACACTGAGGGAGCAGGGAGCCCACCTGGGCTACTCCACTTGTCCTTGCTTTAGCCATTCTGGCTGCCCCAGCTTTTCCTGTATTTCTGTAGCCCTTCCTCTTTAGATCCCCAGCATGCTGCCACCAGGGTCTGCCTCCCAGCAGGGAGCTGGTGATAAAATCCCTCCAGGTGCTTAGGAAGGACCTGGAGCAGTGGCCAGCCCAGCTGTGAGCCCTGAGTCCTGTGGCTTTGGATTTACACCCTTATCATCCACTTCATGTAAGGGGGGGAAATTTTTGAGCCCCTTGGGATGTTGCTTTGTTGGAGATTTTGGTTTTTCATGTCAGTGTTTGGAGTAAGAGGGAGAGAGTTTAGTCACTCAGCTGGTGTGTTTGGCAGCATGAGGTTCCTCCTGCTTTGTGACAGCCTCCTTCCTCCTCCTCACTTGAGAGAGGGAGGGCAGGGGCAGAAAAAGAAAGGTCTGTGCTCGCTTCCCTTCTGTGGAAAAGGAAAATAAGAGATGGGGTGATGGCCAAAGGACTTCTGCCTCTCCATAAAAGGGGTCTGAGGAGCCTGGGACGTGGAGGAGAGGCAGGAGCATTATCCTGCTTGGGGCTGAGCACACAGTGTCTCCCTGCAGGTGCTGCACCCCAGGATGGATGAAGGATTTTAGGGTGTTACAGCTAGAGCTTTGCAGGGGCTGGAGGAGCTCCTGCCATGCCTGGCAGCCCCTGTGCCCCCCCTGGCTGGGTACCACCCTGCTGGCCCTGCCTCTTCCTGCCAGCAGCAGAACATCTCCCTCCTCCTGCCAGCAGCATTTTTAATTATTAAAGTACAAGAAACGTGTGGAAATGGTCAGCACAGCACTGAGCCTCCTTTTTCTTGGGTTGGGGGAGCCCTGCTCACAGGTTGGACCATCTGAAGGGGAAACACTTGGGGAAACTCTAAGTGAGGAGGAGAGTGACAGTACTCTGGTGGGAGGTGCTCTGCCCGTGTTTGCAGACCTGTGCTGGGAGCGGAGCTCCTGCCATGCCTGGCAGCCCCTGTGCCCACCCTGGCTGGGTACCACCCTGCTGGCCCTGCCTCTTCCTGCCAGCAGCAGAACATCTCCCTCCTCCTGCCAGCAGCATTTTTAATTATTAAAGTACAAGAAACGTGTGGAAATGGTCAGCACAGCACTGAGCCTCCTTTTTCTTGGGTTGGGGGAGCCCTGCTCACAGGTTGGACCATCTGAAGGGGAAATGCTTGGGGAAACTCTTAAGTGAGGAGGAGAGTGACAGTCATCTGGTGGGAGGTGCTCTGCCCATGTTTGCAGACAGAAACGTGTTCTGAATCCCTCCACTAACCTGCCAGGATGCTGGGCAGAGCTCTGGTGCCCACAGCTTGGAAGTTCAGGTGTTGCCCAAACCCAGGACTGAGTCCAGCTCGGCTGAGCCATGGAAAGCTCACGACAGGAATGGCACTGGAGCTTTTCCCAGTTTGCCCAGCAGCTGCAGCTCCTGTCCCTCTCCAGCTCCAGCAGTGGCTGTGTCCTGCAGGGAGGCTCAGTGTCCTGCAGCCCTGGCACACACCACCTTAGAAATGAATAAACCACTCCCTTGTCCTCCTCTTGAACACCAGCAGGCTGCTGGCAGAGCCCCCTCCCAGCTCTCACCCAGCTGCTGCACCAGTACAGCACTGGGAGTGCTGGGCACGGGGCTTTTCACTCCCAGCCAAGCTCCCACCCATCATTTTTCCCCCACGGTTGTCTCAGGCCAGCCTGCTGAGGAGCAAACACCTCTTGTGGTCCCAGCACAGAGCCTGAAGTGGAGCTGCCTCACACAGCCCCCTCCTGGGGCACGTTGGTGCCTGGCTTCAGTGGGGGGGTTTGCAGGAGCCCCCTGGCACCAGGT